CATACGCGTATGACGAATTACCGCCTGGGAAATGAAACAATCGCTAAAGGTCGGGCTTCTCACGGCTGACAGATTTGCCCTTCCTGTCTGGGGATATCTAGGTAAAAGAGGGATTGTACGAGCTCGAGTAAGGTAATGGAAGACCTTAGATCAGTATATCGTTGGGCACAGTAGAATAGATTGGTGTGGTGGGTTTGTGGCCCTAACTAATCACCTAGGCACAGGCTCGGGGTGTCTACCTCCCAGGCGAGTTTGCTGCTAAGATCTACTAATCGTTTTCGCGCTTTATCTTAACATCTAAGTTCCGTGACATAGTGTAAAAAAGTGTTTTCAAAAAAAATGAAGGATGCTGATTAAGGAGCGCCAACGTGATAAGGATTCTCCGTACAACTTCAGTGTACCACCACAGATGGGGATCGACCTGGATACATATGAAAAGACTGGTGAAACGAAGGTCGTACCGCTTGCATCTGCTGCAGAGGTAGGTATTTATTTTTCGTAGGTGTTTGACTATTTATGGGAATGTGGTTTTCGTTACCCCCCGGTGGGTAGCCCGTGGAGAAAAGTATAGGGAAAATTAGGGGACGACGACAATGGAACGGCTAGCCAGGAAGGGGGAGGGGGAGTATGTGAAGACTATGTGAAGACGAGGACAACTAAGTTCTAGGTACACCCGCCTGAGCTAGCTAGCTCTTTCTCGCCCCTTTACGTTTCGCAGCCGGTTTATTGGTAGGAAGGATGAATGCACCAACTTATACGTCAGCTAATCCGAACTCCACTACAACTCTGATAAAGAGTCGAATGGCGCATCTCGAAACGGGACCGGTTAACTTCAGAGGAACTTTATCTTTCGTTCTACTTCAGGTCCTCTCGTGATGACGAGCTTCTACCTGAAAAGTCTAATGTGGGGTGGCTGGCAGGCCACACTGCCCATGTTTCGTTAACATAAAGCGGGATCAACTCCGGTTCTTCTATGTGATATCGCAGTTCCCAGGGGCTACTCCGACGTGAATATGCCTCAGCAAAGTAAAGCAAGATGTCTTTATCTGGCCCATGAGATGTGTACCTTATGCTACCGTTGACGTTACCGTCGTTTATTCCATGAAGCTGCAGAAGGTTTGACTGCCTTCCAGTGTTTGAACTGATTGATTCCAGTCAATAGGTCGATAATGTATGGTTAATCATTATAAAAAACCTCTTAATTGCTTTTTTAGGTGAAACGTGAGCCATCACCGAAACCTGTTGAAACGCCGACTGTGCCTCCATTGAATCTACAGGCGATGATGCAGCAGATGCAACACGCGAATCCGTTCCAGTTCATGGACCCGTCTGGAATGATTTCTGGTCAGTTTCTTGGCTAGTTTAGCCTTTCTAAATGACCAACGAAGATTCTTGAATTCCTTATAGATATAAGAGAACTGTTGGGTTATCATTGAGGACATCTATTACACTTTTCTAGTCACTTGAGCAGTAGCACTGTGATCATGTAGAATGGGCGTGCTCCCCAGTTCTGACTCTACATAGGAAGAACCTAAAACTTTTCACTGCTTCCCTTGACAAGGTTGAAAGTGAGGTGATCATGATCAAGTAGATCGATTGATTATCGACTAATGATTTATGTGTTCAGGACCAATAACCCAACTGTCGCAATCAAGTACCTCAGGTCGTCGAGCGAATCGAACCCGTTTTACGGACTATCAGCTACGGACTTTGCAACAGTTTTTCGACAAGCAGGTAATTTAACTCTGGATTTTAACTTTTCGGGAATAAAATAATCCTTATGGCATTATGGCTCGCATGATGAAAGTCTGATTTTCAGGCTTACCCGAAGGATGACGATTTGGAGGTGTTGAGTAAGAAACTGCAGCTGAGCCCGCGAGTCATAGTGGTTTGGTTTCAGAACGCTCGACAAAAAGTGAGTGTTTCTGCCTAGAACTCGAAATGTCTGAAATAGATATAGGTTACATAGGAGTATGGCTAAT